TGACATGATGTAAAAACTCAACAACATTTTTAACGTCAAATTTCTGGAAATTAGGTATTGAACGGATGGAACCTTGTAAAGTCTGGGGCAGTGATTTGTCTTGTGCTCATCATCATCCTGTAGTTGGAAGAAAGGAAAAACAGTGTGGTCGGTGCGGGCATTGTGGGGCGCTGTGGGCTGTGGCCGAGTTGGCGGCCATCTTGTCAGGCCAAACGCTGAACTACCTCAAGTATACAGAGGGACAACCGCCAACCATCCCGATGCCTCCTCCATCGCGCGGTGGACGTATAGCTTTCCATCTCGCTACTCGTCTGTGACCCCGTGAACAATACCGGTACTATAACATCATCATTCACTCGTTCTGTCATTTCTTCAGCTGGATGCACAAACTAGGTTGCTATGTAATTATAAATGTAACTATTTATGCGAGCGTGGAACTACCCTACCCGTCATCTTATCGAGAACAAAGGAAGAGTGACTCTGTCAGGGTGTGTGGTGGTTGGCTGCCTGACGTGACTGACAAATTGTTGACATTAATTACAGACACACCAAGGGAGATCAGTGTAGTTCTGGTCGAACCAATATTTGACATGTGTAACTTTAGGTTTGTGCGAGTGAGACTAGGAACATTTTGCTGCTATTCTTGCATTCCGTTTTGGCTTTGTGTGTGTGTGTGTGCGTGCGTGCGTCAGCGTATGTGCGTGTGGAGAGAGATATGTACCTTTCTTTGTTATACCGATTTACTAATAGTTTCTACCATCATAACCACATGACCAATTTTTTAATTTTTTTTTTTTTAGTTCTTCCAGCTCAATTGATTAATTTTGTCGGAACAGCTAGATACATAATTCTTTGGTGGTTGGAGTTGGACGGAGGTTACGTTGACAGCAGCATACATGGTGACATTGTCATGTTCTAGTTCTCAGGAGGTTCTTTAAGAATGCCTGACTGTCACTCGGACTGTCAGGAAATTGAAGGAATACACTCCTGCTGTGTTGTTCATAGGGTGCACAATGTCTTCAATTGTTTAACAACTTTTGTTTGACTACTTTTGGTTCATGTCATTTTTTCTCTTTTTGTAGTTGTTTACTTTGTTTGCTGGCAGTTGTGAGAGCATCAATTGGCTCATAATTTTACCAGACAGGGTTTCAGTTTCTGAGCCGTTAGTGTGAAAAAGGGAGGTGCTAGTGGCGTGTGAACACGATGTGAATGTGTCATTGGTGTGAGAATGTGTCGTGTATTGCAAGAATGTGTGAATGTGTCGTTGGTGTGTATTGCGAGAATGTGTGAATGTGTCGTTGGTGTGTATTGCGAGAATGTGTGAATGTGGGGTTGACGTTTATTACGAGAATGTATCATGAACCGTTTGTCCTACTAGTCTGTCTGGGTCCCACTTGTCTACGTACGCTTTTTCGTCATTTTTGTGTCATTTGTTCATCGTGCGAACTCTAGGTCACCTATATAAATTTGGATTTTTTTACTCCTTTCTTCTGACCATCATTGATTGCAACAACTCATTTTGGGGTTTTCGTCTGTGGGGATCTTCCCTTTGTGCTGGCTAGATGGATGTTTTCTGTTTTATCAATAAACAAATTTTTCATCGGATCTCAAGTGTTTGTGTCTTCTGTATGTAGGCCTACTTGTTGTTCTGCTGCATGGGGAAGAGTCTCCTTGTGGGTGGTTGATTTAGCCCCAGCCACTCCCGGGGTCGGCAGACTTTACCTGGTTTCAGGTAAAATCTCGAGAAAATGGCCCCCAAAGTTTGGTGACTTCTAAAGATTTAGAGTCTTTGGAAATTGAAAATTTACAAATTTTGTGCGTTTAATCGACGTTTTTCAGTTTAAAAGTCCAAACAGAAAAGTATTTGTAAAAGGTCACAAAAGGTGTTGAACCAAAAAAATATAAATATATTTCGATAAAAATTGCCAAAACGCCGGAAAAATACGGATTTCTTGGATTTCGTTACTTAGACGCCTCACTAATGTATTTATAGCTACACTTGCTGTCTATCTTTGGGCACAGTGTCTTTGGGTGCTGTTATAACCCCAGCCACTCCCGGGGTCGGCAGACTTGACCATTGATTAATCATGGTTTTTCTTTGTAATCGGGGCGGGTGCCCTAACACGTAACCGAGGGTAGGGAGAGAAAGAGAGAGAGAGGGGGGGGGAGAGAGAGAGGGAGAGAAAGAGTGTGTGAGTGAGAGAGAGAGGGGGGGAGAGATGGAGAGAAAGAGTGTGTGTGTGAGAGAGAGAGAAAGAAAGAGAGAGAGAGGGGGGAGGGAGAGAAGGAGTGTGTGTGTGAGAGAAAGAGAGAGAGAGAGAAGGCGAACTGACTTTACTATTTCCACAAAAAGCAAGGGGAAAGTGGGTGTGGCTGAATTTTATAAGGACCCACCCACCTGCCCACACACTCTTTATGCAGCATGGCAAATACAGACTTTATCAGAAGTTAAGGACCACCTTGACAGGCAGCCCTGATTTTTTTAAAATCCGAAAAAAAAAAGACAGCGAGGAATGTTTCAAAAATGTTTTGCTCTGAAAGTGGTAATGGGTTACCAATATACGTACTGCAAAGCTTCCTAAAGGGGCAAAACCACCTCGTGTCGTGCAGCACCGGAGTCCTCAGGGAATTTTAGCCAAATTTGATGTTTTTTATCGGCTTGTGAGCAACACCACGGATATTCCTCAGTTAAAATTTCTGGTACACGTCATAAACGGAGCTAAGGTCTCGAGCTGTGCTCACTTTGGTGGCAATATAAGCCGCAAAATCTAGTGTCGCATCAATATAATGCCACCGAGATGAAAGCTGATTGAGAGGTTCTGATCGTGCCAAAGCTGTGGCATGGCTGCAGGATGCAGTTGGAGCCCGAGAAGTTGCCAGAAGGCTTGTAGCGTCACACTCTGTCATTGTCCGCCTGAGGTAGCGCCATCAAGCCACTGGATCTGTCCAAGAACGCCCACGTGCAGGTCGACCCAAGAAGACCACTCAGAGCGCTTGCAAGTGGTCCTTAACCTATGTTGAAGTCTGTATGCCTACATATATTTGCATCACTGATCACACAAGGAAAACGTCATAATATATCAAGTTCCACTTTTATTCGACTCGACAACTTTAAAACACAACAACACGACAATATACAGGACGTATTCATGAACGCGACATTCCACGGAGATAATATCACAAGGCAAAAAAGGCACGCTATTGCAAAGACTTGGGGTGGGTGGTAATTGAGCAGGGGAAGTAAAGATAATTGGTCGCTTTTAAGACAAGCGGGCTAACCGTGATTTCGGGAGTTTCCAGAAATCTTGACCCACACCAAAAGTGGGCATTGCCCTATGTATAGGAGAAGTTTGGTTTCATTGGTGTGTATATTTGTTTGGTTACAGAGAAAACTCCCCTTGTCTTTTGAAGAAACGTAACAAGAGTCCAAAAACTTTACCTTCGATTTCCTCAAAACAGCATATTTCGGGATAGCCCGCTTGTGCTTAAGAGCGACCAATTAAAGCCAGAAATGTTAGATATATATAGACTCACGTTACAACATAGCGGGCCAACTCCTTGGTATAGCCATTTTGTTTGTGGTTTTAGTTCACAACATGGCGCCCCAAGCGGTGACAGTTTGTTACTGGAGAATCTGACCCGGCTCAGCCTCGCTGGTTTTCTGCAGGATGGTGAATGTAAGTTTGGTGATATCTCCCC